CCCCCCCCCCCCCCCCCCACCCTCACCCCCACCCCCACCCACCCCCACACCCCCACACCCACACCCACACCCACCCACCGACACTCACACCCACACCCACTATATTTCGTTCATGATTTCTCATAGACTCATTCGAAAGCTCATATATTTGTGCGAAAAACTTTTCAATCATGGATCTATCGATTAGTAAAATCAAATCGAAATTTGAAATTTTCAAAGGTTCAGGTGTCTATTTTTACAGTAGTGATTTGGTAAACACTCTTGGAACAAAAATCAGATTTCAAGATAAGCATTTAATAGGCGAACGAGTTAAACGAATGCAAGTTTATTAAATAAGCAGTTAACTGTAAAAAATACATGACTATTACCGATGTCTCGAATTTCTGCATGAAAACGATTTAAAGTTTATTTAATTATAAAATTCTTGATTTTGAATAAAGTAAGTTTATGTGTATAGAATCAAGGGACTCGCTTGATAATGGCTTTAAAAATTTCTGCTGTAATTTTATTTTGAATACCAGTTTTGCCATAAATTCCTAATGCAAATTCGATACCTTTCTTTAATGTTGGTGTCCATTTTGTAATATTTGATAGTACACTCTGACTATTGTCATTTTCATTGTCACATAGTTGGCATGCAATAGTTGGTGCAATAAGTATAAGTTCATTAATAGCAGCCTGTCTACACCTTTGATCTGAGTGTGAAAATCTTAATGTTGCCGTTATAATTGGACGACAAAGACGTAGTACAATAGCGCGTACTTCACATTTACAAATATCATAGGACAAAAGTTGTGTATGATAAAGATCATCGTTTTCTTCAGGACCGATTTTATTGAAAATAATTTCTAGTTGACTTACATATTCATCATATAAATATCTTGCGAACGTATTTGATGTTTTTACAACATATGTCTCCAATTCAAATGATAAATTTTCACGTAATCGATCGTCAATAGGTTGAGAAGTAGAATTTAATGCTGTATAACCGTATTGTTTCATTATCATGTGATTTATGTCAATCGAACGATCGACAAACTCTTTTGTTAAATTAATAAAACAATGACGAAATCTTCTTTTGGTCTCGTCAATAAATCGTACACGATTCTGAGTCAACGCTGTCTTTTGCCATATATTTGCCTCATCGAATGTTGGTTGAAAAAATTCAACATCATAAATTTGATCCCATTCTTTTTCATTGTCTTGTTTAATATGTTCATCAAACGATGTTTCATCAGCAAAATTGAAATTTGATGGTAAAAATTGTTTTGCATTCAACAGACTTTCATTGACATATCGACTAAGTTTAGTAATTCCTAAATTAATTAATTGATTTAAATGTGTTGATGGTAATTCAAACTCAATAAATTTATTCAATGCTTCTCGACTCTGTTGAAAACCATTTTGTAAATTATTGAAATCTTTGATTTTATTAATAATTATTTTATATTCTTCTGAATTTCGATCTAGAAGATTTATAATTGAACAAACAGGAAAAATACGCTCTTCACTAAATCCTTTGTTAATTAATTCCTGTTTTGCACTGTTAAGATGTTTATTATATTCATCTTTAGTATGACATTTATCAAGTTTTGTTATGATGCCAAATACACGTGTCATTGCTTCATAATGCTGATTTCCGTCTTTTATTTCATCTAAAAGACGTAGTGGATCTCGTTGCAAACTTGGACGATCACCATCGGTAAGAAAGAGGAAAGCATCTGCTTCCTTCATGGCTTTTAAACTAGCATCACGATGTTCTTTAATAGGCGAATCGAAACCGGGAACGTCCAATAATTCATAATTTTTGCCTATGTAAGAAAATAGAGATGAGCATTGCTTTTTCACATTTAGGTGTAAAAGAGTATGTGCTTCATTGATAAGTGCCTTGAAGAGGTGTCTGAGTGAACTGCTCGTGCTAGCTCGAAACATTACGTCTCATTCTGTCTGTACTTCATTCACAGGTTGAATAACTGCGCTAATTAACAGTTTTTAGGATAACTCGATTTAGTAGTTACATACCTGGTAATCTATTTGTATAAATCGAAATTTCTTTGATAATATTAACATATATTTCATTAGTAATATACTCTTTTAAACGTGTAATGATTGTATCACGTTGATTATCAGTGTTCTGATCACTCGAAATCACTCTGCAGACTTCTCTTTCTGGATGCTTTGACATGAATTGTTGATGTTTCTCCATTATCTGTGTTTTACGTATTTGAAAATGTTGTTCTTGTTCATTACTTCCCTTTATCATTTGGCGAATTAATATTTGAAACTCGTTATCATTATAAAATTCAACAATTGCAAATAATGATAAATCGTCTTGTCGTGGTGGTTTGAGTACCGTACATATTTGTGTACAACGCACATCACTCGTAGGCAAAAGTTCAAAACCGAGAAGAGCATTGATAAATGTCGATTTACCGCATTTTTCTAAACCGATAATACAGATTCTATGAATTTGTTTGTTGTTTAATTCTTGCAATCGTTGTAATATTGTCTTCATTGTTGAAAGATTAGTTCCATTTTCTTCTTCTCGATGCTGCTCAATAAATTCCAACGATTCGATAAGTTTGAGAAATGTTTCAATTAAATTATTAATTTTTTGTGTCAGTTCATTGATATTTGTACTCTGATCAATTTTTGTTACAAGTATATTTAATTCTTTGAAGTATTCTTTTGAGAGACAAGTTTGTTTAGCCTGTTCCAAATCTCTAACATGCTGATAAAGTGCTCTTGCACGATTATTGCGATCAGAATTTATCGTCAGTTTTTGTTTTTCCCATTTTACTTTTAAAACACGTTTGAAATGGTGATGTAATGACTTAAATTCACCGAGTAATTGTTGTGTCCAACGTTCGACTAAAATGGACGAATAAAAGGAAATGAATAACGTACAGATGTACGATCACAAATATAACAGTTTTAACTGTGCTTTTAGCGTATTTTGTTTAGAAGACTAAAGGGTTTTACAACGAGAAAACAACGAACTATAGGTTGTAGGATTTCAGAGAACTCAGCGGGACTCTGGAACTCACATAAAGGGTCGATTTTTCTAGAATCTATGTTTTCCTCTTATCCCAAAATAGTATAAAAACATAAAAGTACGAATATTTCTTCCGACAGTTGTTCAACAGATAAAAAAAGCTTGTCAGCGCAGCCCCTTTTGGGGCTAAAATGTGGAACTCACATATTCATATAAGCTGGAACTGTGTTCCTGTAATTTTTTCATAATGTTATTACTCTACGTTAATAGATGTATATTTGTAGCGAAGGTTTAGGTGAAAGAGAACGATGATAAACCACACCAATTATTTGTTATGTCGCGTCTGTTGCAATGGGAAGGTGTTTGCAATGCAAGAATCTGTAATGGAGAGTGTCTGTAATGGGGGTCTGTCTGTAAGAACGGAGCTGGAAAAGCCTCGGCTGAAAACTTACACTCACTATTTTGTGGAAGTAGTGTAAGTTTTAATTCGAGGTTTTGTAGTCTATATGAACTACATGAGTTCCACATTTTTAGCCCCACAGGGGCTGCGCTGACAAGCTTTTTTCTTGTTTTTTCTATTTTAACAAAAAATATTTTGTTGGACATAGTCGTCAGACAAAATATGTGTAACAAATGCACAAATAAAAAAAAGTAGTAGTGTTCATGCCAATCAGAAATCGAAATTTGTGATAAACACTTTTGCTTTCTGCTGTTAATGATGATGAAATAGGGTTTAAGGAAAGAACTTCATGGAGTTCTGCAACCATATGGAGTCTACAGTTCCTTCTGGAGGTTTTAACAAAGGATTCATCAAAGAGTAGCTCTGTTCAAAAGAAAGCTTACCCATATGCAATAATTCAACCGGATCAATACCATAAGTAGCAATGACATGTTGAGCTTCAGACTTATCGCCTTGAATTTGTGCAACTGCTTGGTCTGCTGATTCGATCCGTATTTCAGTTGAGGATGATGCAGATGCCACTGAGCTTTCTTCATTTGACATAGCTGTTGGTGATATCACAACTTGTGCACTGAAAGGTACCGATGCTATTGAAGGTCTATCTATAAATAAATTTGAACGATGATTACTTGAATTTGTTGAAGCATCTGTCGTCCCGTTGGGGAATATCGACGATGTTGCCAGTGGTTTCGATGTTACAGATTCAGATCCACCATCGATGATAGTGGGATGCGTTGTTTTCCGTGAAGAATTATTTGCGTAGACAATGTTACTTGATTGAGATGATAGCATGTTTTCATAGAGAAGCAAATGGTTAAATGAACAAAAACAGCAGATGTTCCTCTCATATAATGAATTGACTACACATTAAATATTTCCAATTTGAAATTTTCTTTTAACTCTTTCGGGACAGACGACGCATATATGAATTCCATCCGAAAGAGAAAAAAAATTCGACTCAAGATGGGTCAATAACATGACGTGTCAGACGGATATTTTTTTTAATTCTCCGCTTACAATGTCGCACCTGCATGAAAATTTCTCTATGACTCGAAAAAACCCACCACCATTTTTCTTTCCAACATGAATAATATGACATATTTTATTGGTTGGTACTTTCGTATGCGTTTTTTTTTATTTCTTTAATCCTTTCGAGGCAGATGGTGCATACACGTCAATACTTGAGAAAGGACGGATTATTCATTTCGCAAAAGTCAATAACATGACGTGTTAAACAGATATTTTTAAATTCTCCACTTGCCACGTCGCGATTCCATGTAAGCTATTCTATAAGTTAAAAAAAAACCACCATCCTTTTTCTTTCCAACATGAATAATCGGACATATTTTATTCGTTGATAGTCTCATGTTTTGTTTTATAAACACCATTTAACTGCATTACTACTGCCACCATACACTTACATAAGTGCGACTCAGAAAACTTTGTAAGTAATATTCGCTCTACTTATAACCATTCTCTTATTTGTTAGTACTCAGATGAAACAATCAGACGGTATGATCTTACATGATTGTAAGACTGATTTTGCGATCTGAATAGGACTGTGACACTTTGCAGCTCACAGGAACTGATATAGAACTGTCATAATCCTATTCGTTAGATGATATTCTAGTTTTTTTGTAAGAAAATTTCAAGATTCTTTGTATCAGAAAGAGGACTCTCAATGCTGGTTCTGGATGCCAAATGGTAAGGATAGGGTTTTGGGAGCCTCGGACGCCCAAGATCGAGTGAGATCTCAAAATTCACGGGTTTTTAAAATATGTTGTAGAAGGCAGTGAGTTGTGTGCTCTCTGGAATTGTCAGCTCAATCCAAGGATTTCCTGAAATACAGTCCTTATCATAAGGTCGAAATTTTCTATTGTATTTTCCACTAAAGTTTTTGAACGAATGTACGCTTGTTTGGAAAAGTGCCTGTTTCTTTCGACGCTAAAAGATTTAGAATTTTGCCATTTCTAGACAAAAAGATCTTGTGTTTCTGGTACCCAATACAAAAATTTAGAACTTTTCTTTAAGGGGACCCCTCCCCTTTGCGGACATGAAAATCAAAATTTTTTTGATTTTTTGTTTTTGATCGCTATCGATGCTTTGTAGTGCCCTCCATCGATCCACAAAAAATAATTTCCGTAGGTCGAGGTTTATGCCTTGAAAAAC